TTATGCTGGCTTCATAGAATGAATTTGAAAGTGTTGCTTCCTTTTCTATGCTCTGAAATAGCTTCAGTAGTCCTGGTACAAGCTCTTCTGTAAATGTTTTGTAGAATTCTTCAGTGAAGCCATCTGGGCTACTGTCCCTATTTAAGGTTCACTGATTGGCAACCTCAATTCCACCTGAAACCTTAATTCCCCTTTGCCAGGTAAGGTAACACATTCACAGGTCCTGGAGATTATGATGTGGACTTCTTTGGGGGCCCATTTATTCTACCTACCACACCCATTGTACAATCAGAAGTCTTGGCCTGAAGATGAACATTGGGCAGGGCAGAACCACCATCTTATCCTTTTATAGTATCTACTTGGAATAATGGAGGAAAAGCCTTTTAAAATTAGGCAAGGAATAAAATATCAGAAAGATAAATAAGAGCAGGCAAGAAACTTGTTGAAGAAAACCAGGGATAAAATAAGGCTGGAAGTCTCTTTGTATGTGGGGGTGGGAGTCAAAAGGAGGAGGTGAAGTGAGTGAGGAATGAACAGACATGAGTTGCTCACTTAAAGCTTATAGCTAGCATCATTAGAACAACAGAATTAGTTATTAGAGAAATTTAAAAACTAGAGAAACAGTAGCCTGGAAGGAGCGCCGTGGGGCAGAGCCACAGAGGAAACTCAGCCCCAGGTGCATCCGCTCAGATTCAGGATGTTGAGGAAATGTCTATCAGGGCATGTATGAAGCTAGAGGAACATTCTGGAGGTCACACCTCTGTGGTCTTATGAAGTGAGCACTGAACCATGAGTCAGGAGGTCTGAATTCTAGTCCTGGCTTTTACCATCTTCAGCATATCATGCCACATATGGACCCTCTATCCCTTTGTCAGTAAATGAGGGGGCTGGTCCAGATTGGAAACCCTAGCGGTGTAGTGGTTAAGAGCTATGGCTGCTAACCAAAAGGTCAGCAGTTCGAATCCACCAGGTGCTCCTTGGGAACTCTATGGGGCAGTTTTACTCTGTCCTATAGGGTCACTATGAGTCAGAATCAACTCGATGGCAATGGGTTTTGTTTTTTGGTTCAGATTACTGCCAAGGCTCTATTCTGTTCTGATATTCTAAACTGCAAAATTTAACATTTTGAGTGAGCCTGGTAACCAAATTCATTTCAGGGCTCTTGGTCCCTCCTGGGCATACTGGGCATTGGGTGTTAAGGCCCTTTGCCTGGGCACACATCAGGAATGTAAGGCTGTATGAATGACGTGGAAGGGTTCCTGACCCCCTCTGTGCAATAGAAGGGACAGCTTGGATGTTGCTGTCCTAGGCTTTAGCACTCAGAGCTGCTTGCTCTTTTGACTCACCCAGCCCTCTCTGTTACATGAACCTTGTCCCCAGCTCAATCACTGTTGTGAGGTGTGTGAGCTTTGACAAGAGGTGTGGGACAACATGCAGTGCAGCTGACCAAAAGGAAACTGAAACAGAGCACCTCTTGTCAGTCTACCCTGTTGCCCAACGGCCACTTTATCCAGCTGCCCGTCTTCACAGCCGCGGCCTCAACTTTGTTCCTCTCAGGGATTGGGGCTTGGGGCCTCCATGCCTTCCCCTCAAGCTCTGGCACCAGTGTGGGGAGATGGCAGAAGGTCAGAGCTGGGCGTGAGAGAGGATGACATTGATGCAGTGCTCCTGGCCATCACCTCAGGTAGGAAGGGAGCCCTCGGGAGGTGAAAAGCATTGAGACGCAGGCTGTGGCTCAACTGAGGGAGACGTGGACTTTTATTACACATTTATTTAAATAAAAGTGAACACATATGCAGGCTGGTTGGCCCAAGTGGGCAGGGCTGGGGAGTGGGGCAATGGGAGATGGACGTACAGTGGGGTCCAGGCCGCTGTGTGGTATGAACCAAGCTGCAGGAGGGAGTGGCTGGGGGCCTTGGGGCAGTGCTGGGCTTCGGTGCTGGAGGCAGGGGGCCAAGGGGGTGAGCCCAGTGCCAGGAGGTCATTTCTATCCCTCATACACTTCCCTTCCTCTGCCTGATCACCAGGGACTACAGCCTCCCTCCTCAGTCACCCTTCCCTCTCCTGACATCAGCCCTCCCCTCAGCCACTGGGAAGTCAAAAGACAAAATAAATAAGAATCTCTTGAGTCCTGCCCTGGACCCCAGCAGTGGGGAAGGGAAGCCAAGCCAGGTACACTGCTCTGAGCCCTGCTGTCAGCCCTGGGAAAAGAACAGGTAAAGTGCAAGGAAAATCCAGTAAGTAAAAATATACCAATGACTTTGTCAAATATACAGCTGCTGGCTGTCGAGGAGCAGGTGGCTGGCTGGGGGTGGGAGGTGGGGAGGGTGGCAGCAGCACCCTGGGAAGTGTTGGCCAACACAGCATAGAGACAACGGAAATAAATAGGGGTAGGAGTGGGCAGGGGGCCGCCCACTGGGCCAGTGCCACAGGAGGGCGGGGCCTCTGCCTGCTCACCTGCCCATCCCCCCAGCCCTGCCTGCCGGGCTCCCAACGCTGGCTGCCGCACTAACACAAAGCACCCGGCCAACCGCTGGAAGGAAAGGATTATAATGTAGGGTGGGCGTAGGGAGGGGCACAGGGACACTGTGCAGTCAGCCAGGGCTGCAGCCGCCCTCAGTACTCGTCCTGGTCTTCTTGTTGGTGTTCCTCAATCTCATCATCCTCTGGGGGTGCAAATCCTTCCTGGAGGGTGGGAAGGGAGAGAGAAGTGGTGAGCCCGACAGGCCAGACTGAGTGTAGAGGTAGCTCAGGAGCAACGGACCAAGAGTGAGGGGGTCTCAGTTCTAGTCCTACTTTCCCAACTAATGCTCTTTGTGACCTTGGGCTAGTGACTTCGCCTCTCTCTCCTGCTCAGTAAAAGGTTCTCCAGGCCCTCCTGACCCTACCATGCACTGGTCCAGGGCCAGGCCAGCATGGGGAGAGTCCAGCAGGCCTGGGATGTCAGCAGGTGTTGGGAGAGCTCACCTCAGTGGCATAAAGGATGCCAATGATGCCCGAGATGACAGGACTGTTTTCACTTTCGTGTTCCTGGCAGATGAGCTCGATGTCACGAAGTTTGCTGAAGTAGAAGTCGCGCTCCTTCTCCAGCCCATCCACTGTCAGTTTCAAGTCCAATAGCTGCTTGGGGAGAAAACAGTGTTGAAGCCAGAGGTGCCTGCCTCAGACTCCCCTTCCCACCCTCCTCTTGTCCTGGCTGGCATCCCAAGAGCCTGGCTTTTGGGGCAGGGCTATCTCAACTACCCTCACCCACCTCACTCACCTGCTGGTTGAGTTCAAGGATTTGGGCATCAGTCTCATGGCCGCCATTTCTGGCTGAGGGGGGATTCTTCCGGAGGATGCAGGGTGGGGCTACACTGCTCAGTCGGCCAGAGGTCTGCATACTTTTGGGGCCTGTGGGGGACGTCCTCTGAGGAACTGCCCAGAGGAGAAGAGTCAGATGAGGCCACATAAGCCCACAGCCCACGTGGCGTGAGGCAGCCTGGTGTGACGTCTGCAGGGCAGGCCCATGCGAAAGGCAGGCACTCTTGCCCTCCCCTGCCCAACCACTCAGGAGAGGCATCCACATCTAGGCCTCGAGCCTCAGCCACACATGACACTAAAGCAGCTAGGCAGCCCTCTTTGGCAAGCCCAGGAGAGCAAAGACTATAAGGAACTAAAAGAAGGTGTGAGATGCTGGGGAGGGAAGAGAGGTGGTGGGAGGGTAAGAGGGATTTGGGGAGGTGGGGAAGGAAGGGTTCATGGCCCTCTTGTACTGACAGCTAGAGTCTGAGGAAAAGTAGCTGACACAGGTTCTTGAATCTGGCTCTTGCTAGGTCTTTCATATCATAAGCCTTAACCCAAAGCCACTCTCCCCATGGATGCCTCAGACTGGAGGACACAAAGAGGGCTTTAGCAGGGTATGAGACTGCCAGCAGAAACCTAGGCCAGGCCCCTCCCAGCCCGTCTCAGGACGGGCTCTGGTGCCCTCTGCCGGGCTTAGCCCAGTATCTGAGCAGCAGTGGCCAACCAGTCACCCTGAGTTCCTCCCCAGCACAGCCGGCATGCTGTGGCCACTAGCTTTCTAGCTACTCAGCTCCCTAGACAGAGCTGGCTGCTTCTAATGCAAAGCAAGCAGGTGAGTGGGGGCAGGCCCAGGCGGGGCAGCAGCGAAAACAGGAGATGGCTCTGCTATGACGGGTTCAGATGCAGGCTGGGGCTGTTCCTCTCCCTCTCTCCCCAACCCTGCTGTCTCCCAAAGGCTCTACTGCTTCTTTCCTTTCTCCTCTAGAACCCAGACAAAGCCTAATTTCAAGAGACTCATCTCTTGATGGCTTAGGGTTCTGGGCCTTTGGAATAGGGGAGCATATAATCGAGCCTGGCAAACTCCTGCCCATGGGCATCCAGTGGGCAGGGGGCACGAAGGATCTGTAGGGCTGGCACCAGGACCTTGGCCTGGATGTATCTGGACAGAGGAGCCATGCTTCCTTGCTGCTCCATCATCTTGGGCAAACAAGTTAGCTCATGCTGTGAAAGGAAGTACCCTGGGCCTCCTACCACCAGTGGCTTCCATGGCTGGTGCTGGTGGCTCTCCTCTTACAGCAATTTTTGGAGCCCTCTCACCCGCTATTGTGGTTCTCCCTGGTCTAAGTGGGCAGCAGGCGGTGTCATCTGAACTCCGTGATAACAGTCTCCTCCAGGCTGGCAGGGCCGGGTCGGGTGGCCCAGGGGGCACTCTTGGCTGGAGAGCCCTGCCGGCCTGGCCCCCCACACTCCCTCCCCCAGCTAGGGCACGTTACCTGCTGTGCCAATGAGTTTCTTGGATTTGTTGAAGATCTGATCACCTGGGTTAGGAGGTGGCGCTACGTCCTGGCCCTGCCGCGCCAGCAGAGGGTTGTAATCCTTTCCGTCATAGTTTGCGTCAAAGAATTTCTTAAACCACTGAATAAACTCAAAATTATCTTGGAATTTTCCTTTCACTAATTTCTCTACAGGAATTATCTGAAACAGACCACACAAGCAGAGCATTTTAACCACCTGCTGCTGTAGGGCCATCTCCCTCTGTGCAGGACCTCTGCTCTCAGGGAAGCCGGCCCCTGGGCTGAAGCAGCCTTGACCTTCTCCACCTGCCACCCTTCCCCCCCACGACACCAGAACAGACGGGTGGGCTAGCAGGCCCAGGCCTGGGATCCAGAGACATCCCTTTCCTAGAGGCACAGGAAGAACTGTGTGGACATGTATCCCTTGGTCCTGTTGCTTGCATGGTGCGGGGGCAGGGGGCAGCAGGGAGGCACTGGAACCCGGGTCCTGGGGCCATCAAGGCAGTAGAGTGAGCAAAGAGGCTTTGCTTGGGCCCTAGAGAGAGATGCAACTTAGTAGGAACAGTATACAGAGCCTCAGTTTCTGGGGTGGGAAGGGTCCAGAGACAAGGAAGGGAGAGGAATGTCGTCAGGATGGATGTAAAGTGTTGTGGGGTTTTGCACTGTGCCATGAGCTGAAGGAACGTTCCCTCTGGTAAGTCGGGGCTGGAGAGAGCTGGGATGACCCCAGCGGCCCCTGCTATCCAGCTGGCAGGCTGTCTTCTTCCCCAGTGTAACACAGCTCCTCAGGCCCCCACCCCTGAGCGTAGGCACCTACTTTGTCAACACCCATCTTCTTGAAAGCTGCTTGCAGCACCTTGAAGTTGTGGATGTATTCGTGCTCTAGCTTAGCCTGGAACTTCACCTTCCTCAAGTGCACGCAGCCAGGGAAAAGCATGTCCATGAACTGGCAGTAGGCAGCTCCTGTGGACCAGCATGTCTAAGTAGGCCGCCCTCTGCTGGCCTACTCCCCAAACCCAGTCTCCTTCCTCCTTGTCCTGGGACTGGGCCAGTCTACTTTCAGGACAGACATGGCCAGAATTCCCCCAGCGTTCCCAGAATAAGAGCAATTACTATTTATTGACGCACATTATGTGCCAGCACCACACTAAACACTTCATATAACCAAAAAAACCCACTGCCATCAAGTCAATTCTGACTCATAGCAACCCTACAGGACAGAGTAGAACCGCCCCATAGGGTTTCCAAGGAGCACCTGGTGGATTTGAACTGCTGACCTTTTGGTTAGCAGCCATAGCACTTAACCACTACGCCACCAGGGTTTAACACTTCATATATGTAATTTAATTTAATCCTAACAGAAACCCTAGTTAGATAGGTGATGTTATTTCCATTTTAGGGGTGGAAAAACTGAGGCCTAAAGAGGTGTAGTGACTTGCCCAGGGTTGCACTACAAGAAGAAGAGCTGAGATTTGGACCCAGAGTGGCTAGATTAGACCTCGTGCTTTTAACCTCTGGCTTCACTGCCCCTCCTGGCCCCCAGTACCCCACTACTCCTCTCTCTGCACCCCTCCTTGGGCCTCTCCTGCTCTTGCAGTTTACTGCTTCCCTTCCCTGGAGACCCCTGTTTCCTTACTTTCACTCCAAACAGTCTGACTAGTTTAGGGCACTGCGGCTCTCCTCTTTGACCCTAATTACAAACTACATTCCCTCCTTCCCTTCCTTTCCCTCCAGCAGGGCCCGCTCCCCTACTCCCAGCTCCTACCTGAGCAGAGCTGTTCTATCTTGGTGTAGTTGAGGTGCAGGGAGTCATTGACCCATGCAAGCATATCATGGCGACTCAGATTTTCACTGGTCACGGATGTGGAGTACACATTGACGGCCATACCCCAGCTGCAAAGGAAGAAGAATAAAGATGAGGTCAGCACCCAGGGGCCTCCTGTTGCTCTTTAGCTGTTAGGAGAGGAGAAGCTGGATGATCCCTTGGGAAATCAGAAGCATTTCCCACCAGACCAGCATTACATGACTCCTTCTGTAAACATTTAGTGAGGGTCTACTATATGCTAGATGCGTGCTAAGACTTGCTGATACAAAGGTGAGTAAGATATAGTCTCTGCCTTCAAGAAGTCTGCAGACAGGCCAGTAAATCCCTGCAGGGATGGGGCAGTGAAGAGCACACACAAAGTTCAGGGACGGCACAAAGAAAGGAGTATCTCTTTTCTTGGAAGGGTCAATGAAGGCTAAAGAGCAGAGATGTTAGAGCTGAAAGGAGTAGGAATTTTCCAGACGTACGAAGGGTTGGGGCAGAAGGTCACCGCAGACACAAGGAATAGCATGAACAAAGGCATGGCTTATTCTGGGAATGCTGAGTTGTCCAGCAGGCCCAGAGAGCACGTTTTTTGTGTTGGGGCGTGGTGCAGTGAGGCTGGCAGGGACAGATCACGAAGGGCTTTGTTTACCATGCGGAGGAGACTGGACCTTACGTTTAGACAATGGGAAGCCATTCGAGGAGTTCCAGCAGACACTAACATGACCAGATTTGTGTTTAGTAAGACTGACTGTTGCCTCTCTTCTGACCTCAGTCCCCCTGTTCCTGTGGCCTGCTGGCTGACCACAGGCACGTAAACCCCACTTGTCCCGAAATTTCCCTTAAAACATGCTTCTCCTCCTGTGCTCATTATCCCGGGAAAACTCACCACCAGCCACCAAGTCACCAAAGCCAGAAATCTTCGGGTCATCCTAGACAGCCAACTATCCCTCATCCCCATCAATCCTTCGCCAAGTCCTGCAACTCTACCTGCTCAACATGCTCTGCTCTTCTTCTGCTCTCGATGGGGTGTGTGCACACATTCTCTCTAGCCAAGGCCAGCAGGAACCTCCTCAAAGGCCTTCCAGCCTCTAGTCCTAATCTACCCCCGACACTGCTGCATGGGGCCTGGCCACACCGTTCCCCAATTTAGTGCCCTTTTGCACTCAGCATTCATAGACCAGCCAACACTGGCTGAATTTACCTTGTGAAGGCAAACTGTACCCTCACAGTGTTGGAAACCTTTCTGAGTTAAGGTCTGCTATGTTAAAGTTGGTGGCTCAGTGGTTAAGCGTCAGCTGCTAACCGAAAGGTTGGCGGTTTGAACCCACTAGCCCCTCCACAGAAGAAAGATGTGGCAGTCTGCTCTCATCAAGATTACAACCTTGGAAACCCTATGGGGCAGTTCTGCTCCATCCTATAGAGTTGCTATGAATCGGAACTGACTTGTCAGCAGAGGGTGTTTTAAAGTTGGGATTTTTCACATACACAGTTTGGGATTTCTGGCTTCTTTTGGCAACCCTGGGCCTATGTTCCTGCACAGCAGCGATGCTGGAGCTGAGCAGCAGGCGCCCCTCTAGCCAGCGGGCGTGAGCTCCTCCTCCTCACCCCCGCCCCCACCCAGAGGCCAAGTGTCAGTGCTGTTTATCTCTGGCGTGCACTGTCAACAGAAGGCAATACTTCCTGCAACTAGGACTTTATCGGAAATGGAGAAACTGAAAATAGACCAAAAGGACTGTCTATTTTGAGAATTATGAGAGCACATGTTTCTGGAAGTGAAGACTATTTCTCCAGGTTTAATTTGCAAGGTGTCTCTGTGTGGGAAGAACAAACCCAGCCCACTTCTCTGACCTCTGAAGGCCTACCTCTTCCAACCTTATCTCCCACTTTGCGCCTGCAGCTGGGAGTGGGAGCCACAGGCAACTCCCCACTCACTCTGTCTGGAATGCTGCCCCACCCCATGTCCACTCATTCTCTACTCCAGTGGTTCTCAAAGCGGGGTCCCTGGACTAGCAGCACTGGTGCTGTATGGGCATCAACTTATTAGAAATTCATACTCTTGGGCCTCACCCTAGACCCACTGAATCAAAATCTGCATTTTGACAAGGTGCCCAGAGGATCTGCAGACACAGTTTGAGAAGTGTTGCTTTAAGGAGGAGTCTCAGGTCAGCCTCTGCTAGTTTGTGTTCCCCTTATGCCTTCTACCTTCCCCCCCACCCCAAGTATATATAATAGAACTCATCATACACTACATGTTTAACTAAATGAATTTTGAAGAAAAGTTGAGAGAGAAAAACCTTTTACATATTCCTAGTCCTTCCTCCTTTTTAAAATAGACCTGTTCTCCACTGCCCATGAAAAGGGAGGCCAGAGCCAAAAGGCCAAAAGAAACAAACACTAACGATTGTATTGGGAGCTTCTAAGGACTCAGGACCTGGCAATGTCAGAGATTTTCAAGGGTAGTTTTGACTGCACTGGAGTCGCTTACTCAATGGCTCTCAGCCTACTGCCCTGCATTCCTAGCCTTGTACTCCCTATCGGATTTGGGGAAATGCCTGGTTCTTTCGTCAGCAAGCCCCTTGAAGCCAGGAGTGGGGTTTCCGGGGCCTGTCACTGGCAAGGTAGTCAATGAATTTGCTGAACGACTGAGTGACACCTCCCCGTATCCCCTCTCTGCCTGAATTGTCTTTCACAACCTCTGGCCTGGAACCCCTCCCCGCCCCCCACCTTTAGGACTCAGCTTCAGTATCATCTCCTCCAGGAAACTTTCTCTGAGCCCCTGTGCAGTGAGCCATGCCCCTCCTCTGTTGCCACAGCATCCTGAGCACCCACGTTACCACATCACATTTAAACCGTTCGTGTGTCTACCCCTTCTACCAGACTGTGACCTCTTCCAATGGTCATGCGATGTTTCATTCATTTTGGGGTTTCAGACCAATTTTCAGGGAACAGTAATTGCCTAACAATGTTTGTAGAATGGAACTGCAGAGGCTGGAGTTAGGAAAGTGTTTCCAAGTTTCTCGGGGACTCACCTAAATAGCATCAGCAGGAGTAGACAACAGCAAATGAATGCTCAACTTGTTGAAGAGGCAGAACGGGTAGGGTCAAGTGGAGTTCATTTTATTTTGACGAGTATTTGCTTTGTTAGAAGTGTGAGAAATAGAAAAGATTTGCCCTTGTCCTCAAGGAGTTTATAGTCTTACTGAGACAAACACACATAAGAACAGTATAACCAAATGCCCAAATGTGGTGAAACAGTAAGTGCTACAGAAGTGAGGAAGGAGAAAGCTAGCAGAGTTACAGAGAGGGATTTGAAGTAGCAGACTCTGCCAGGCCTCTGGAGCTCTGCAGAGGTGCCTGTCGGGAACTGGGTGTAGAGGGCACAAGCTATTCTGGTAATTGTCCAGAATTATTGTCCAGGAGCCTTCCACAGGCTCAGAGACTCATTTATCCATGAGGCCTTGTTGGGGCCATTCTGTTTCTAGGCCCCCAAGGTGGAGTGGGCCTGGGCCAGCTCCAGGCCTGCACTCTGCTTGGCTGCAGAGGGTCCAGGTTGGTCAAGGGTGGTTCTGGGAGGCTGGCCCTGGGAGTTCCTGAGCCACTTGAGGGTTTAGGATTAGCATGTGAGTTTCAAGGGCTGATGACTGGAGAAAAGCAGAAGCAATGGCCCTAGTCCAAACTAGCCTTCCTGGGGCCTCACAGGACTGGACTTGCTAATGGTTGAGGCCCACTCTTTGGAACAGGACATGCTAAGGGTTGGCTCACTCCAGAGGTTCTTTGCTAGAGGAGTATATCAGATCTCAATATCCCATGGTCAGAAGGGCTTCTAGAGACCATTTGGTTCCTTCCCAGACACCCAGGACTCCACTTAGAACTAAGCACGTACATTCTTCAATCATAAAGACAGCCAATAAGCCTGCATAACTGAAATCTCATATTCTAATATTTAACAAGGGGGTATTGGTAGTTCATGGAGTCCCTGGGTGGTGCAAATGGTTAAGTGCTCGACTACTGGCTGAAAGGCTGGTGGCTTGAACCCACCCAGAGGCACCTTGGAAGACAGGCCTGGCGATCTGCTTCTGAAAGTCACAGCTATGGAAACCCTATGGGGCGGTTCTACTGTGCACACATGGGGTCACATGAGTCAGAACTGACTCAAGGGCAACTAACAATAGTTGGTGGTTCAGTGATAGAATTCTTGTAGGAGACCCACCCATCTGTCAGTAAGACTTGTGTATTGCTATGATGCTGAACAGATGTCAGCAGAGCTTCCACACTAAGATGGACTACGAAGAAAGGCCTGGTGATCTACTTCCAAAAATCAGCCAATGAAAGCCATATGGATTACAACGGTTCGATCCACAACCGATCCGGGGGATGGTGTAGGACTAGGCAGCATTTCATTCTGTTCTGCATGGGGTTGCTGTGAGTTGGGGTCTACTCAACAGCAGCTGACAACAACATTTAATAACTTTTTAGGTCAAGAGTGTATACCTTATCACCAGCCTAAATCTAATTTTGGCTTATTTTTAATCTTCAGTGGAAAGAGACTCTCTTCCATAAATATATCTTGAAGACAACTCAGGGACCCCTAGTCTTCTCTAAAACCCTAGAGTTCCCTCAATCCCAAGCTAGCCCTAGTCCCTGGAAGGGCTGACTATAGCCCTCTGAAGTTCCCAGGTCTTTCCTGTTGGCCCCAGCATGGCTATGAAAGACACACCAGGTCTTTCAGTCCTGCATGGGTGGTGGGCATGACTCCAGCAAGCTCCAAAAAGGTGGTGTGTTAGGAATACTGGATCTCCTGTCAGACCACTTGGGTTCAAGTCCTGGCTCTACCATTTCCTAGCTGTTTGATTTTAGGCTTCAGTTGTCCTCATCTATAAAATGGGGACGGTAACAGTCCCTACTTCATAGAGCTATTATGAGGACAGAGTGAGCCATGTATCCAAAGTGCTGAGCACAGAGCCTAGCACATAGAAAGTATTCTGTATTATCAGCATTGCTGGGGCAGACAGTGAGAATCCAAGGACACTTGTTTGAGAAGCAGGCGCCTCACACACATCCAGCTTCAAGCCTCCAAGACCATGGAATGGCCAGCTCAGAAGGGAGACAGGCCACAGAACTGTGCTCTTCACTGCCCCTTCTGTCTGGGGCTTTGCCACTTACTGCCTGGGAGACTTTGGGCCAAGTAATTTAGATATCCAAGCCATCTGAGGTTCCTGTACCTGGGTCTCTGGCCATGATCCCTTCCCAACTCTAGATTTCCCATATATTCTGCTTTGTAGATGCCATCCTACCAGCCAGGAAAACTGGAACCAATGCTCTGGGATCGGAGGAGTGAGAATTCTGCAAAGCCTGCCAAATGTTTCCCGCTCCTGATGTGGGGCTATGCCCATTGTCATTGGGCTACCCCTCCTGCCCAGGCCCAGGGAAGCTGAAGTCACCTGTTTGGAAAATCTGCAAAATTGCCACCCCTTGCCCCTTGGGTCACACATCCAGGATATTCTGGGGTTGCATGGAGACAACGTACGCAGGCAGGATGAGGGGTTCTGAGGGGCTGGAGCAGCCCTGCCCGCGGGTCACAAAGCCCTGGCTGACCCAGCCAATCACCTTCTTCTCCTTGCTGAGCGAGGACCTGAGTTGTAGAAAGGCTCAGCCTCTCAAAGCTGAATTAGTCAAAGGTAGATTGTAATGGTGGAGGGCAAGTGGAGTAGTTCCCGGGCTGGCCAGGGTCCAGCCTGCATCCACTCCAGCAGATCCAGGAAAGGGATCTGGACAGTTGTAGGTTCAGGTAGGGACTGGAGCTTCTCCAGGATTCTGTTCTCAAAACACTTCTTTAGCTCTTCCCGAAGACCCCAGAGCCTGCTGAGGTTTCAGCTACTGGAGTCCTGGACATGTCTAAACTCTTAAAAAGGTTTTCCCCAGGCTGGTCTGCCTAATGCTGCCATACCCCTTGCAGCTGCTGGCCAGGGGATGGAGTCCCTAGCGGGAGTTCTGGCCAGATTGGTCTATCTGACCATCATCAAAGGGTTAACAGAAACCCAGGAGTGCAGTAAACAGAACTCTTTCTCACTTGCTAAAAATCCATTTTAGTAGGGTCCATGTAGGTGGGCAGATAGAAAGGCAAGCCTTTCTTTCTAAAGCTTCTTAACTGGAGATCTTTTAAGTCCCTCTAACACTTGACTTTTTAAGTCAGCCAACTTCAACAGAGACACCCATCAAACCAAGGTGACAAGTGGCAGACTCTAGAAGGCTGTGTAGTGTGGTGAAGAGAGGCTTTATGGCAGAAGATGTGGCTTGGCTGCAGGCTTTGCTACTTACTGCCTGTAAGACTTTGTGCAAGTAATTTAAGGGATCTGAGCCACAGTTTCCATGTTTGAATAATCAGAATGATGATGCCGTTGAGCTGGGGTTGTGAGGATAACAAGAGACACTGTCTATGAAACCAAAGGCTCATCACCATCCTGCCTTCTGGGATTGAGAAACCTTTACCAGCAAGTAAAGACTCACTGATGTGTTTGACTCCCATTCCTTCCAACACCCTGAACCAACTCCCCATAGACCCACTGATGGGGGTCCTGTCTAGGGAGGGACGACAGCCACTGTGGACAGAGCAGGGACAGGTTTGGCTCTTGGTTTTCTGCCATGTGATCTTCATAGCCCTTAGGCAGAAGAATAGCGTGGTGCTTTTGGAGCTATGTGGCCCATTTTTTTCTTCAGTTAGTACTAGTTCAGGGCCCTGGACACAATAGCTGCTCAATAAATGTTTGTTGAATGAATGAAAGAAAGAATGGGAGAGGCAACTAGGGTGTAGAGTTTCAGGTGGTAGGTGTGCTCAGAGAGGGCAGTTTTCTGGTCTCCTATTCTTGTCGGTTGACTCTGGAGAGTGCTGCTAGCAGATGGGGAGCAGTAAGGAGAGTGGAAGGCTGGCTGCACTGGCCACACACAACCAGACACAGTAGGAAGCCTTGGGACTCTCAGGAAGAGGGATTTTTAAAATATCCTCTGATGCAAGTAAACGAGAGACTCTAAAACATGGTATTGCCAGATTTCTTCAGAGCAAGGGCCAAGAGAAGGCTTTAGAATGTTGTTCAGAGAGTGGAAACTGGTACCGTGCTGAGATGATCCCTGGCAGGGCCTGCTCTCAGTCCAGCTCTGTGAGCACCCACCAGGGAGGCCGCCCCTCTCTCTGCTCTCAGCCTGGCCTGCTCTGGGGGGTAAGGGGTTGCTAGCCCATCTGTGGCTAGCATGAGGGGCAGCTGCAGAGGCTGCCGTGACTTGCTGGGGAGGGAACATTTCCAGCAGTCCCAGTGGGCCTGGTGTTTGCTTAATGGCCCTTCATGCTCCAAAAGCACTTCTGTGTCTGTGGGCACATACGAGCCACGCCACTTTATCTTCCTTTAAGACTGTTTCTTCACATGGTCTGGCTTACCGTTGTCATCTAGGGCCAAGTGATATGTTCTCACCCTTCTCTGAGAAGCTCTCTGAAATGCCAGGATTCTATGCATTGTTTAGCCTGCTTCCCTCTGGCCCCAAACTCAGAGTCTTTTTTGCTTTCATGGTTATCTGCCACCCACATCTAGTCCTAGTCCTCTCTCTGAATCCCCCGTCTTATTTCCTTGCCCTTTTGACAGGGCACGGACTGCTAGTTATCCCTTAACCTTTCCACCAGAAATACCCTGAAGATGTCAGAACAAAATAAGGTTCGGTGTTGGAATCTCTGTCCTCTCTCCAGTAGACTATCATTCTCCACACCCCCAGGATGCTACCCCACCCTGCCTGCCTGCCTGCCTGCCTGGCAGAACTATCCCGAAATAGAGACAGAGTCGGCTCCCACCTTAGTGGGGAAACGCACTACGGGGGTACTAGAAGGCTCACCTACCTTCAGAGAGCTTCTCTCCTGGCCTACTGTGGTGCTGAAATTCCCATCACGAATGTCACTTTTGTGGATTATAGCATTTTTCTCCAAATAGTCTTAGGTATTATCTCAATTTGCATATAAGCAAATGAAGGTTCATAGTTCAAGTGACTTGCTCAAGATCAAGCACTAGCAAGGCCAGAGCATGAACCCAGACTATCTGAACCCCAGTGCCAAGCTCTTTCCATACCACCACACTATGGCGGGATGAGGAGTTTGGTTTTGCACAGCTCTAGTGCATGACAACTGGTTCTGATTCAGCTCCCTGAGCATTTGGAGAAGGGAAAGGAAATTACAGAGGTTTTCTTCTTGACATTTCTCTTTCCAAGCTACTACAATATTGTCTTAATCTCAATCAACAGGTATTTACCACATTACACTGACATAATGTGCTAAAAACTCCGGAAGGCACCATGAGGACACAGGATCACTTTAAGGCATTAATCTTGTCCTTATGGAAATTTTGGTTGAGGAAATAAGAATAATTCATAAACATCAGGGGCCCCACAAACCAGTGGGGCTTTAAAGATAACCGTATGTCAGAAAGCAGTGAAGAGAAAGTGGGAAATTCACACATGGAAAACTTGTTTATTATAACTTTTATTTTTAAAATATGGGCATAAGACCAATGACTAAATCCTCGAGGAATGTCAGGGGACACAGTCAAAAGAGAGGAGGTGCGCAAGGTAGGTGACTTCTCAGGAGCCAAGGGAGGGACCAGTTTCAAGGAGGAGGTCATCTACCCCGTTTAACAAAGCCTCCAGGCCTTGGATGGAGAAATGGTCAGTAGATTGGGCAATAAGAACTGATGCCCTGGACACTCTTTTAACTCAGTACTTAAGTCACTCCCAAGGTTCACCCTTCAGCCAAAGATTAGACAGGTCTATAGGGAAACGGAGCCCTGTTGGCTCAGTGGTTAGGAGCTACAACTGCTGACCAAAAGGTCGGCAGTTCGAATCCACCAGCTGCTCCTTGAAAATCCTATGGGGGCCGTTCTGCTCTGTCCTATATAGTTGCTATAGTTGGAATTGACTCAAGGGCAACAGGTTTATAGGGCAAACAATAAAACACATGAGGAACATGCTTTGTAGTTCAATCATATATACGAAACTAAATGGGTACATCAGCCTAAAAGCAAAGATGAGAAGGCAGGAAGGGACAGGAAAACTGGACGAATGGAAACAGAACCTGGGGTGGAAGAGGAGAGTGTTGACACATCATGGGGTTGGTAACCAATGTCACAAAACAATTTGTGTACTAATTGTTCAATGAGAAACTAATATGCTCTGTAAACTTTCAACTAAAGCACACACAGACACATACACACACACACACACACACACACAAATCTGCCATTGTGCCACCAGCTTTTGTTCCATAAAAATGGATCGTCAGTATCTGTGCACTGGTCTTAGCCATTAAAAACCAATTTTTTGTGACAAAATAAAAGAAAAATGATGAGACTCCGAGTCATTTTGTTGGAGTGTGGGGACAGAAGCTAGACCTGCAGATGATTAAGGAGTCCCAGGTCATTTGCCCATGAGGATGCTGAGGAGTGAAACAAGTCCATTTGTGTCTGCTACAGCATTTCAGGTACAATTGTTAGGGGCTGCTTGCAGGGCAGGGAACACCTTGCTTCTTTCTGTAAAAGCTTCATGTGAAATACAGGTGCAAATCTCGACATCTACCCACCCTCCCACAGAATCCATATCCTACCCTTAAATTCTAGATCCTATCTATCCAAGGAGGCTCAGAAGTGCAACCTCATGATCTTTCTGAAGGTACTGACAACACTGTATCATGAATAAGAAAGAATGGGAGAAAATTAAAATATAAAAAAGTCAACTAAGTTGAATATTTGGCATCCAATGTTTTAAACATTACTATTTGGTGAACTGTGGTTAATCAGAACCCCTTTGGTCTTTAGTTCTGTTGAAAATTACTGTACTTACTAAAGCATGCAAGAATAAACAATACTGACTATTAATGAATTTGCACAGCCTCAGATTCACTCATTCACTTATCACCATCTATGGACTTGCTGCTGTATGCCAGGCATGGGGCCTGCAGGAAGGAATGGGACCCGAGTCTGGGCTCTCGAGGAGCTCACAGATTAGGGTGGGAACTGGACAAGTAACCAGCGCAGGAATAGCATGCTGTTGGAGCAACTCTGCTTCCTGGGTGAGGGAAAGCTTCTAGAGGAAGCATCATTTGAGATGGGTCTTAAAGGAGAAGCTTATCAAGAAAATAAGAGTCAAGAAGAAAGGGGAATGTATGGGGAGGGGGTAAGGATTGCAAATAGTTCATCCCAGAATGGAGATGGGAGCAGAAGGCAATGTGGTTGAAGAGGTGGACAGAAGCCACATCACTAGGAACTCTGCAGGCATGATTAAAGAGTTAGTTTATCCTGAGGGAAACTCACCAAGGGATTTTTTCCCCAAGTTTACAATATATTTATAACAATACTATAGTGAAAATAACAGCGTAATTTCCAAACCAAAATTACAACAAATGAATTACAGTGCTTAGCAACTCCATGTGTTTCAGAGTGGAACTGCGCTCCACACAGTTTTCATGGTTGTGACCTTTTGGAAGTTACAGAATCA